AAGATTACAAGTAATTATGCATAAGTACAACTTATTAAAGCTCGATGTTTGAATTCGTATAAATAATTACGGATAAACATAATCAAATAGAGAATGAACATCTTATTTTAAAATATAAAAAATCTAAAATATAATTAGAATAATTATCAAGTTCCAACGAAATAAATAATTATTATCTTTGTAAAAAATTATATTATTAAACCAAATATAAATTACTTCGTTATTGTACATAAATTAAATTATAAAAAAACTGAATTAAAAAATTACACAAAAAAAATGAGGAATTTCAAATAGTTAATTTGATATTAATATCGATATATTTTTGTCAAATTTTTATGATATCTTCAAACATATATTTTATTCAAAAATAAAAACATCATCGTTTTCTCAAAATCACATAAAACCATATTATAAYATCGACTGAGATAAAAAATAAAATAAAATATTAAAATCACGATATATCTCGCTGCATTGTGCGAGTACGCTTCTAGTATAATATTATATGTACATTCGTTCTGAAGCCCAAAATTCCATTCCAAGTAAAACTAGAGGGAATGAAAATTAATTCTTATATTTATTCCTTATTATTTTCATTTTTATTCTCATGGCTCTCCTATTTAAATCTCCTTTCAGTTAAATCATAATATTAAGAATGTAAAAATGATGGATTGGTGTGTATATAAGGAGTAAATTAAATAAAATTATTATAAACTCGTAACAACCTATTTTTTTATATGAATTTGTTTTATCAAAGGCTATGATTTAAGGTATTGTTTTCCTTATATATTTGTTCATAAATGTGATATTTTTACAAGTAGTTGTTTCACAATGTGAAATTTTTAACGTGTATTTTTCATTTCATTATGTGAACCAAAAACATTTCACATATATTTTTTCACAATGTGAACACAAAAATATTAAAAACAATACCTTAAATCATAGTCTTGATGGAAAAATAATGTAAGAATATTTTTATATTGGTTCTCACACGGGTAACCTGCACACACACACACACACATGTGTGTGTGTGTATATATATATATATATATATATATATAGAGAGAGAGAGAGAGAGAGAGGTGTCCGAATAAGAACAAATTCATTTTACGAAAACGTAAAATCACTTTTATCATATGTAGTAATATACGTAAGGAGATCTGATGGTGTGCGAACGATTTGACCCGGAATCTAGGTCCTCGTCTGAATCTCTGATCTGATTTAATATCAGATACGATGGAGTTACAGTAGCATAGTGATGATCGATTTTCCCATTGAGTAATGTGCACAATTTGAAATTTATTATTAATTTAATTTTAATGCAAAAATTTAATAATCATATAGACTTGAAAATATTTTCTCAACTCAACTATACTTTATTTATTAAAACCTTGTTTACATTTATGTTAAAGAAAATCTTGTTTACATTTTCTTACCAAAAAAGTAAAAATAATGTTAAACATAACAAATAGAATTAAATTATAATGACATTTATAATAAATAAAAGAAATTTGAAAATAAATACTTATATTAAATTAGAATTACATGTAATACAATATTTTAATTTGTTAAAATTAAAATATGTGCAAAAATAAATATTACAGAGCATAAAAAAAATCCAAAAACAAAGCTCAATATATAGTTTAGAGTTAAATAAAAATTTGGTCGGTTGTGGTTTACATAAATGAACGATTAAGGTCCTTAAAAGAAATTATTAACAAGGGACGTTTCTATTTTTATTCACCTTTCTCTTTCCTACCTTCAGTCTGCAATGACAAATTTGGTCTCTCATACTACTTTTACTTTTGTAACATATTTGTTCCCTCAAACAAATTTACATTAGTATAACATATTTGGTCCCTCAAACAATTTTTTATTTTTATAACAGATTTAGTTCTCTCAATTTTCATTTTTAGGATTTGGTCCCTCCATTAATCAATAAAATTTGGTGGTACAAATATATATTATCTAAACATAATTAGCAAAATAATTAAATAAAATTTGAAGCTTAGATTTTGTCTTAAATATTTTATCTTTTTAGAAACATTACTT